CTGGGCGGTGAACTCGTCTCGCAGATGCCTACGAGACAAAATAGAGTAAGTACAAAATGCGAATTTTATGTGCACACACTTTTTACGAGGGCTGTCCGCATAGCTTTTTTATTTTTACGGCGGACGTGTCCCGTCCGCTACCGTCTACTTCAATTATTTATAATGCTCAATAAAACGCGAAAGTTTACTACAACCGCAGGCGTGGGTGATGGCAATATAGCTTCGTAGATACATAGGTAACATAAGCCGTGTGGTGACGGCAGAGCAGAATACATTTGTCACCAACCCCTACTCTTCCCGCGGGTGTCGTAAGAGGCGACTTAGGGACTACACATCAAACAGAGAATGGGCAGCAGCGCTCTCTGAAAAACATCAATCTTTTAAACTGCAATCTCCAACCCGCCTGCCTAGCGTGTAGATTATGGCAAAACCCTCCACTATAGTGGAGGAGGCTCATAGTCCAGCAGTGGACTGTAAAGGGCTGTTGATGATGATGATGAGATACATAGGTAGGTACCCTAATAAAAAAACTGAAGAAAAATATCGTAGAGACTAAATTCTCAACATGATGAAAATCCATGAGGTATTGGTTACACCATCTAGAAATCGCATTAAGTATATGCATTTTTGTAAGTAATATTTGATTAAAGATACATATTATGAAAAGCTGATATATGAACATCTGCTGTTCAAACCTGAAAAATAAATAAACTTGTATTCAATCTTAAAAAATCTTAATACGATACTTCTTGTATTTGTAGTAATAGAATAGATACCTATTCTTTAAATTTTTGGTTCTACCTTTAAGTTTTTTGGTGATAAACATTTTCCTTAAGAACATCTGTAAAGTAGTCCTATGTAAGTTTTCAGGGGTAAATATGTGCTAACTTTATTACTTGCTAGCAGTACCTACCTAGGTATTTACTTAGTTGCGTTATGTTATGTTGACTCATCATCAGCATCATAATGTCCCACACACTTCGGCCCATTTCCTTTGAAATACATAATAGCTTACTCTAATTACTAAGGCTACTATTCCTTTACACCTGAATTACTTCTTTTAACTTTTTCCGTAAGGTACAAACTCATAGTGTTGTATTTCCTAGCTAAGTGTCGGAAAAAAGTATTTTTTTTAAAATAAGGTTTAGTTTAGTTTAGTTTATTAAGTAATTTACTTTAAAGTAGTTTGTGACTTTTAGAGAAAAAATAATAAGTGAGAGTTCAATACTTTGCTGTTACATGAACCGATATTAGACAATATTCATAGAAGGTTCTTTTGCTTCTAAGTTATTCTGACGTTAAACAATAATAATATTGTAAAGTTTCATCAAAATCCACTCTTAGTATGTCCTATCACCCTTTTCTCACAGACTCACAAACTCTCAAAGGTATCGCATTAATTGGAAAAATAAATATTGTTACTGCATATTTTCAGGTTACTGAAAAAACGACTCAACCGATTCGTGTTAATCTTTCATGGAACCATGTGAAAAGTATAATTACCCTCTCAAAATATCAAATTGATGCAGGTGTCTTCGTACTCGAACGTAGAACCTTCTCAACTTGAAATTATTTATTATCCCATCAAAAACAATACTTGTCAAAAAAACCAAGTCTCGCAACTCAGTTGTTCTACGGTAAAAAGTTGTGAGATCCATGTAATACCAAGTCCAGGCCAGGAAATCTTTAACGTTTTACATAAATATATTGACTTGGCCATCGCACTAAATAATTTAATTTACACGTGTTTTCATGCGATGGCCAAGTCAATATTTTATGTAAAACGTTAAAGATTTCCTGGCCTGGACTTGGTATTACATGGATCTCACAACTTTTTACCGTAGAACAACTGAGTTGCGAGACTTGGTTTTTTTGACAAGTATTGTTTTTGATGGGATCTCATTTCTTTTTGTATTTTGTAGACAGCAGTTATGTATCTAGAAAACTGGACCGAAATTGAAAAATTTTACTCGACTTGGCGGTTGCACTACCGTGCCCCCAAATCTCATTTCTTTTTGTATTTTGTAGACAGCAGTTATGTATCTAGAAAACTGGACCGAAAATGAAAAATTTTACTCGACTTGGCGGTTGCACTACCGTGCCCCCAAATATTTTAGTTTTTCCTTGATTCATACACCAAACACTACTTATATTCCAAATTTGAAGCTTCTAGGTCTGCTAGAAGTGCCTTAGAGTTTTGATGATCGGTGAGTCAGTCAGTGAGTCAGTCAGTGAGTCAGTGAGTGACAAAATTAAGTAACTTTGACCCGTTATAATTCTTAAACTACTGGTTCAAATTGAATGAAATTTTAAATATACCGTGTCTTTACAATTCCTGCATAGCTAATGAAAATTCAGCCTTCTAGTTTTATCCACAACGAAGTTACAGGCGGTCGAAAATGGCCTGAATTGCTTCGAGAAAAGGATGGTACGGCCGTGCCGCTTTTTTGCTCGACTTGGTGGGGGCACTGCCGTGCCCCCAGATGTAGGTAATTTCGAATATGAAAAACTAGCTTTTGCCCGCGGCTTCACCCGCGTGAAATTTATTTTGTCACAGATCGTCATAAATTATAGCCTATATGGGTTATAAACAATAATACTGTAAAGTTTCATCAAAATCCGTTCAGTAGTTTTTGCGTGAAAGTGTAACAAACATCCATCCAGACATCCAGACATCCAAACTTTCGCATTTATAATATTATTAGGAGTAATTAAGTACTAGGCTGGGTAGGTAATAATTGTAACTAAAGAAAATTGTAATGAAAATTAATTGCAACGCAAATATACTTAAGATATCCATACTTCAGATAAAATATGTAGGTATCATGGTTACGAAAAATTTTAATGTAGAGTCATACTTACATATTTTACTCAGCAGTACTCAGATTATTTTTAGCCATCATCACGAACCCATAATTTACTCGGCAGCCATGCCCACTTCCCTAAAAATACACGCTACGCGCACAATTTCACTGCGCATAAATCGATCCCGAGCACTCAGTCTGACGTCAGTATCCGCCTTTATCCCAATGGCGCTCGAAATACTCTATCCTGATTGGCCGATCATCCAACTTTTTCTCAGCGGGAGAGAATGCTCGTGGTTTGGAAAGTTTAATCCAAAATGGCCGCTGAAATTGTTGTGCTACGTGACAGTTTGATGAAATATTGGAGGGGCTTGTATGCCATGGCGGGAACTACTCAGGCGGTTGATTGGTCCAGAGAGTACCTATCTATTTTACAAGCTTTATTTGAAGTAGATTTTTTTAAAATTGTGTGATAATCTTACGCTCTGTTTTCAGTATTTCTGATAACAAAAAACTAAAACAACTAGCAACCGCCCAGTCAGCCATATTATTAAAGTAGAGTATTGGTAGAGCAAGGTTTTGCCCTGAAAAGGTATGTTAAGAATTATTACTTGATGAGAAGGTATGCATTATTTTTTTAAAGCGATAGTCACATAATATGTTTTTAATGGAAATACTGACTTATTTATAGTGTAAACTGAAATGTTGACTCTACATAAAATTCTTAGTCTTTAACACTTAGTTACAAACGTATCACAAGTATTGCGTAAGATCTACTTTTGTATGTATGGTCAGAAGTTACTTTTGTTGAGAGTTATTACTTCCTACTCTCTGTGACTCTTCCTGCCTATAACATTATTTAACATTCCCATGAATAAGATTGAGGTTTTACTGTTTACTTACTGAAAAGTATAAATTACGGCCATGTAGCAATAATCAGATGGAAGTCAAACGATAAAAGAATACTGATAGATAATATCGCAAAAAAATAAAACACTTCGACTTACGCGTAAAATTGGTCACCTTTTTTTCCATGGCGTCATGAATTACCAGATGATGTCACAAAAAACTCACTAAACAGACAAACCAAATGTTTTGGCACGTAAAGAACGTCATGGACCATGTCCAAATGGTAACTGATGCATATAATGTCTTTGAACCCGAAAGGATTTAGGGATATACGTAACTGAGGTTAGTTAGATGAATGAATGAACTCCAATAAAACTGTTGATACTCGTAGTTGGAAATAACCAGGTCCGCACTCGATGAATAATTTACAGTATGTTTTTGAGAACATAAACATTTAGGTTGTTTTAAAACTGATTTAATTTCAGGGATTGTAGTTTCCCAAAAATATTTGCAATCTTAGACCCTTCTGGCTCTCTTGAACTTATTGATAGTGTTATCTAGAATGCAAGCAACTACTAGGTCCTTTTATAGATTCAACCAACTGGACCACTTTACCAATAAAAGGTAACAACATAAAAAAATAGTAAAACAATATTATGATGATATTTGAAGGTTTATGTAAAGAAATAAACAGTTTCTAATTTCAAATATCTTGTACAGTCAGCGTCAAATAATTCGTGACACCCAAAGTAGCCAAATAGTTCGCAACACGTCTTTGTTACGATTGAAATTTTGTTGATTGTTTGATTGAGGTTGTGTTGTTAACTTTTTGGCCACTCTGGGTGTCACTAACTATTTGACGCTGACCGTACATGCATTCTTGAGTCCAACCCTGGATTCTCTGGGTAGAGTTGTAAACCCTTTACGCAGATCTAACTATACAACGTCAATAAAACCATTTGGTTCCAACAATGCATCATAATCACTTCTATTATATCCTTTAATTTATAACCTAAAATAAAGCTTTTAACAAAACGCATGTAAGACGTGCCTTTTAGGAACCATAAATAAGCCGGTATAGCTTTGTGAATACATTTTTAACCTTATGTGGGTGTAATAAAGTTCAAAGTAACCAATGATATTGTCGCATCTGCATGCATCTGTTAATTCCTTCTATGTCTACACAAAAGTTTCGAATAGGAAATAAATAATATTGAACAATTAGACAATGAATAAATATAATCAAGATCGTTTATTTACTTTAAATAATCCTAAACTTATCCTATTTACAAAATAAGACTATGTTATATAATTATGTACAGGGCCTTTGCTAATATTATGTTAAAAAACAAAACAAGATTCATGGTTAATCGTATAACATTTGTGTTTATTTATTTTCCACAATGATTATTTGAACGTAAGCGCAACAACTATCGCGGACAATAGCCATAGTTTGTTAAAAACAATAGTGAAGGCTGAGTTTGATGGTGATACTGGTATACGTATGTCGTTCTCGAGGTACACTTTGTCCCAGAACTCGGCCCGCTCCTTGATGGGATAGCTCAGGACTTCAGTGATGTTTCTGATCAGGTAGTACGGAGAACGGGATGCAGTTGCGTTTACTGATGGCCAAACTGGCCAAGACTCGAGTAAGCTCGAATTCTGGGGTGTCGGGCTCCTGGAAATAACGAAAATATTAAGTATACAGTCCAACAAGAAATAAATAACACACCTACACTGAAATATTCGTTCTGATAACATATTTTTTCGACTTTTCACCTAAAGTTCATACGAATATAATCTAATTAAAATATTTGGACGACTTTGTGAAAATTTTCATGATACTCGTACAAAATTGAACTATTTGCAGTTTTAATGTTAAGTAGGAAAATATTGCAACACAATTGCAATTTTTTAGAAGTAGAAATTAAGTTTTTATCTGTTGGGTGAGTAATATTAGCAATAGAAGATAGGAAGATAATTTTAAAAATATAGGTATTGTACAAATAGGTAAAGTAAGAAAGATATGAAACAAATATTGCAATAAGTAGATAGTTAAACAAGGATTTGTCAAGTTGTAACTAAACATTAAAATCAACAAAAAACCATCAGTAAAAAAATATGTTCACTTACCCCGTGGTAATGAAATTAAGGTATATTTCCCCCATTTTTTCTGACATAGCCAAAAGTTCATCCGAAGGATTATCTCCCAATATACCAAGAGCAACGGCTGCCTGTTCGCAATGAGCAGCACCAAGGACCGGTGAATTAACTGAATTATTTTTCACAAATCCATATTCATACAAATAAACTTGATCATTTCCAGCCTCTATTTGTAACGAGACAGCACGAAGTATCGAATGAGAAAATATGGTATCTGTCATAAAATCAATAAACTCTACCACTTTGCTTGCATTAACTTCGCCTCCAAAATAAAAATCTCTAGCTGCAATCCCCACAGAATTTCTTCGTTCTTCATTGTCAAACTTTAAATCCACAGGCAAAAAGTTCCAAAATTGAGTATTCATTTCCTCTTGAAACACTGTTAAAAACTGAGCTAAATGCATCCCTTCTTTATCAGTGTATCCGTACAATGTTGGTACTTTCATGTAGCTACCCTTTCTCCATATATTTATAGGAGCTTCTTCTAAAAACATTTCTTCACCTCCACCCAGATCTTTTTCTACACATGGTTGAAATAGTACGTATGGTCTTCCCGAGGCGACATTCATAGCGGCACTCGCTGTTAAAACATCTAATGAAAGTGATGCATAAAATTCTCCTAGAGCGTCTATATTATTAGCGTTAGTAAAGTTGAGGGAAACAGCATGTTGTTTTGCATTTTCCAAAGGGTCCATTTGTATAGCAAACTGACTGAGACTGCAACCACTCTCTGAAATTACTTTGTGGTAAAGTCCGTTGCTCATTTTCGATAGCATGAGGGTGTCGACTGAGCTACCGCCAGCACTACAACCTCCTATAGTTACATCTTCAGGATTGCCTCCGAAAGATACAATATTGTCTCTCACCCATCGCAATAATGCAATTTGGTCTTTCATACCAGCATTTCCTGGAGCAACTTCTGTACCAAGACACAAGAACCCATATATGCCAAGGCGATAGTTGAAAGACACTGCTATTATTTTTTTACTGTTGACTAAGACGTTTGGAGATACCATGGCACCGAAACCAAAGTTATAACTTCCTCCGTGAATAAGAACTACTACAGGAAGGTTAGTGTCATTTGTGTCTGGTACGTATACATTTGCTACGAGACAGTCTTCTATTATTTGTATATTGGGATCGGGAGTGGCTAAGTTCAATTGTGGGCATATGATTCCTCTGTCTAAGGCATCAAATGTGTCATTCCATGATGGTGGTGGTAGGGGCGCCTGTGAATCAAATATTACTGGTTATTTTAAATTTACAATTTTGAAATTATGAATGAGATATGAAGTCGAAATAGAACGCGAAAGTTTAAAATCTTATATGAATGAGATAAATTATGAATAAAATATTTTACCTTAAATTTATTAACCCCAGTAGGGGCCGTTGCATATGGGATATTTAGGAATTCGAACACATCGTAGTTTGGTGATTTATGTCCAAGAATAAGTCCTTGAGTTGAGTTCACCAATTTCGTTGTTGAGTTACCATCTTGTCCCTGAGCCTCTACTAATAGAGTGCTGGCAACAGACAAACACACCAATATTTGAGCCCACATCTTACTGTCACTTCGTCTTCACTAAAACAATAGAAGTGATTGATAATGGTTGAGTATTTATACAGATCAAGTTGGTATTAATCTTTTTTATCAGTTGATAAGTGACTAATGCGAAAAATGAATGAACAATGATGACTCATTGGGAGGTTCTTCAACTTATTGTTTCAGGACTGTCTAATCTCTGTTATACAAATAATAATTATTAAATTAACTTAATTTTAGAAATTTATTCTATGAGCGTGCCTAAGAATGTAGATATCTACAAGGCATAAATTGAAAAATAGGTATACTGTACATGCATGTGTCTTTTCAGCCAAATGACGTCTACTAATGGATAAAGACCCTAGGATTTCCACATCGACCGGTCCTGCAGTGCCCGCATCCAGGTAACTTTCCGCGACCTTCACCAGATCGTCAGTCCACCTAGTGCACCACTTGCACGTATTGTACCCGTACATGAACTCTAGAACTTTCATCTAGCATCAACAGGCCATTACTTCTACGTGCTACTGCCACTTCAGTTTGGAGATTCCTACGATCCAAAAGTAATGTTAAGTGCTTTATAATTTTAGTTCTTTCTTAACTCAAATGCCCATCATGCTAATCGGAATTTCTGCGATCATGATTCATTATTTAGGTTGTAGATAAGTAATTGAAGGATTTAGACTGAAATCCTTTTGAACTATCTTATCTAAACACGATCACATATGTAAATACATCATTTAGATTAATCATTCATTATTATTTGTTAATCTTTAAAGATTACTATCTACACGTTTACGCATATGTGACTAATATCCTAATCAATTACTTTTATGTCAACTCCGCGACAGTAAGTTCGTTTTAAGTACAAAATTTAGGCTGGGTTGCACCATCTTACTTTAACTGTACAAACGTCAAAAATCTGTCAAACTCCATACAAAAAGCACCGGTTATCGTTATAGTTACGGTCAAAGTTAGGTGGTGCAACTCAGTCTTAATGTAGGCAAAGTCGGCGTCAAATACTTCGCGACACCCAAGATGGCCAAAAAGTTGACAACACCCTAACACAACCAAGATGTTTCGAACTTTTTGGCTACCTTGGGTGTCACGAACATTTTGTCGCTGACTGTACAATCGGAACCGTACTTTGTATGTAATCTGGGGATAGACACATTAACTTTAAACATTTTTCGCAAAGAACTGCCTATTAAGATTTAATTACCAGTACCTCTATTACGAAAAACTTTCGAGTTCGTTTCGTTTGCGTATTCAAAGTGCCATCGAAAAATTTTGTATGAAAAATTAAACAGCGCCCCCTATATTATAGCCGCCCTAGGGGGCGCTGTTTAATTTTTCATACAAAATTTTTCGATGGAACTTTGAATACGCAAACGAAACGAACTCGAAAGTTTTTCGTAACCCTTTCAGGACGACCTAACACGATCGTGCACGTTATTTCAAAAAAATCCCGCGACTTTTCTAACCAACTTTTCGAGCCCAAGACGCTAGCCAACGATCGTGCAACAGTCTTTTTATGAATTAAACGCATAGGTGCGAGAGAGAAGGCAGTCAGTGTTCTTTGACACCGAGGTAAAAATGTCGACCTCTTTTGTTGAGCGGAGTGGTCAGCGTTAGTACTAATTATTTCGTGATTAATACAACTATTTTACTAGAATTTTGGTTTTAATATTTTGTTTAGTTAGTAATGTAATTCGGTAAATAATATTTTTGGCATTATTTATTTTGCAGTGGGAAATATTACATCTCAAAAATTTGTTTGCACGATAGTGATGATCCGACTCAAACCCAACATTCGGTGCCATACTTTGTATGTCGGTGAACTATTATATTTTAATGCTTTTAATTAAATTTCGGCTTTTAGGAACAGAATTAACGGGTGAATTGTTGCTTCAGCTTATTGGGTATGTCAATTATTCCGAAATTGAAGAGATGGAACATGATGAAGGCAATGTAGAAGTCTTGGTATGCCATCGATGCCTACTGATGAGCCTCAATTACCTCCAAGACCAGGTCCATTGTCAGTTACTATGCCAATAGCTCTCTAAAAGTCGTCGGAAAGCCATGCGACTGGCCAAAGGGTCTTGATACAGATGCCATTGATCCAGAAGGATTATTACTATCCAGAACTATTGTCAGTACTAGTAGTCTCCTTTGACCTACAGTGAAGGCTTTTGACGATATGTTTTTTGAACATGCAGCTGTTTCTACCAATAATTATCCGCAAAACGGGAAAAGTATTGAATACCCCAGTAAAAAAGTTCAAAAAGTAGTTTGAATTAATTTCTTCATGGGATGTATTTCGTCCCCATGCATTCATGTGCGTCGAATAGAATGAGATTAGCTTTAGTTGATGACAAAATTTTCAGAGATCTTTTTTCAGTTTTAGTGTGGCTTTTCATGTTGTAAACAGTGATGAAGCTCCTGCAGTAGGAAAACCAGAATTGAGTTTTGGAAGGAAGGGCATGCTGTGCTTACTCAAGTCTAGAATGCTTGAGACAAAGTAGAAAGCCAACATTGTTTTTTATTCCGTAGACGAGCAAATAGATTTCATTCTCTGGGACATATTCACATGGTTTTTGACATTTAAAAAAACAAAGCCACATTCACAGGAGCTTTTTTCGCTACTGACCATGATGGTTTGATGATTGACTTCGAAGTTTATCAGGCCGCAACAATAAACTTTGAAGATCTCTAGGTTTTTGAACTTCTGCAATTCTTCATCTCTCTAAAGTAGATTGCAAGCAGTTAGCTCTGTATCTTTTGACAGGTTTTTCTCATCCATACTTTTATTCGAGAAATTTAATGAAATGAGGCTTCATGAGACTGGCACAATTATGAAAACTGAATTTCTAGGACGAAAAATAAGGACATCAAGCAAGAATCCCAAATATTCATTAGTAATGACATTGTTATTGTAAAATGTATGGATAATGGATAACAAACCCGTCTTAGTAGCATCCAATTTTACATCAGGAGAGGATTTTTTCCTCATCAAGAGATGTAATAAAAATCTACTAGTGCCTACCGTTTTAGCTATTTTAAAATGATTTGCAATTTAAATCAGATATATTACTTAAAGTTCCTTCTCCTTTTAAGAATATTAAAAATATATGTTTCTAAATATTTTATTGTTTTTTAGGTTTTTAACTTCAAAACCTGACACCGTCACTTTCGTGCAGTAAATTAATTTGAGCCTGAGCGTCACGATCGTGCTGGGTCCCCCCACGCAGAGGGGGGCGAGGGGGATTTTTAAAATTATTTTTTTGGAGTACCTTATACAATAATAAAACATGTTATGTAGTCAAAAATGTTAATTTTAAAAAATCTGAAATCCGGCCTGAAAGGGGTAATAGAGGTACAGAACCTATGGGTCCTATACCTATGCGTGAGGTAGGGTAAAAGCAGTTAAAAGTACACAGGGGAGAGTCGGAGCTATTGTACCGGCAGGATGGCGCCACCTCCAGATTTTTTACTAAGCTACACTAGCTCTTTTAATTACGAGTAGCTACGCTCGGTCCTTCGATTAAAAAAGTTTAAGCTACACTGGCTTTTTTAATTACGAGTAGGTACGCTTGGTCCTTCGATTAAAAAAGTTTTTGTGGCAGGTCGAAAACATGGCTGGTCGTGAACATGCCATTTACTCGTACATTTTATTCATTTTAATGTGATTACCAGACAACTAGGCAATTAATTGATTTGATATGGAAAAGTGTCACGTTGTCGTCGAGTATTTAATTAGTGATAAGTCCCTCTCAAGTAGACCTAGATACTGTTGTTTGCTTATGTTATTATTTATCAGTAGGTACTTTACTGTTATCTAGATTTTCTAAAAAACTGTTGTTTAAATAATATAATCAAAATCAATCATCACTGCATCAGGTGATCCGTCTGCTTGTTTGCCTCCTGTCCCATAAAAAAAACATTTTGCAAGTTTCTTTGCAGACGTGTAGTTAAATACTGCGGCATCTTATCGTTCGAGATACTTAGTTATAAGTACATATTGTAAACAAAAATGTTTGAACTGAAGTGCTGTCGTTTGTACATAACTAAGTACCACACCCAAGTACCGATGACGGCATACGGTATATTCCCTACTTCGGTAAACATGATACGATTTCGCTAATATTGCAATAAGTACTAGGAAATGGGTAAGTACCTAGATTAAAATTGATTTGATTTATTAATTTCACACATAGGGGTGAACTGATCCCATGCAGTAGAGTCGGGCTAGAAACAGTTATTGAAAACACTATCCAAGTGGTACAGTTCTGGTAGAATTAGAATATTCCTATCTTTTAAGATAGTACCTGCTATGTAGTTCGCCATGGATACTCGTAGGTAAAATGTATTTTGGACCTTAAATTCAGCCCCCTAAAAGTCGGTTTGTTATAATCTGCTTACTGATTCTACTTACTTACGTTGTAGCTTCAAAACCCCACAAGTTGCTCTCCCAGCGTAGCTCGTGCAAATACTGAAGGGGAACGTTTTCTTATAACGAACCTTTATTTTAATGTCAAAATGGGATCACATTTTAGGAAAGTAATTTTACACATATTATGCAATAAGATAATATTTTATTAGTCATACTAATAGAACTAGTGACTACTTTACAAAGTCCACTAGAAAGATAAGATATAATATCTTTATGCATTCGTATAAGATACGAGAGAACACTTTAATAAATAACTTTTTAAGGTTTAGCTGGATGTCTAGATGGCACTCTGTAAGTGTCTAATAACGTTAGATATATATTTTTACAAATATTTTTATTTCAGACATGCATATTTAAAAAAATATATAACGCAATAATTTCCTACAGCATACTGTGCGGGATAAAAGCTCCGTATCTACTAAAGTTCACATCATTTTTGCTAGAGGGCGTGCTATGCAAACTGAGCTTTAACTCTATGTTGGTGTGATATTTATGGCTGAGGCGAATATTTTTCTATGTATAAATACATAGTTTCTATGTATAAATACAATTACGTTATTTACTTGTGTTTAGTGTTATATTTTATCACGCTTTG